ACCCAATAATTCATCTGACACATGTAATCCTCCTCTAACAACATCATTATCAATACTCATATCTCCTTAAAAACACAAGATTCTTGAAAACTATAATAAAAAGATTCAAACTTTACCCAAATAAAACAAAAATCTTGAATACTATAACAAAAAGATTCAAACTTTATGCATTTAAAACAAGATTATGAGGGAACTGTGAAAAGGGATTTTAACATTTCTGTAAAATAAGAGTTTATTTATGGTAAAATGGAGGATTTGGAACTAGGGTTTTCAGAGGAGGTGGATTAAAAATTGAATTCTCTCCCAAAAATTGAAATTGGAAGGAATTCAAGAAAACACAAAAGTGTAAAGCAGGCAAAAAATAAAAATAAAAATCCTAATAATGATCTATTTCTGGTTGGTTATGTTCTGTGAATTTTGTGATTTGAAAGTATTAATTAAAAGGAAATTATTATTGTTATCATCAACATATATGAGGAATCTAGAAAAGCTTTTTCGACAAAGAGTACTAATAATAATAATTGTATAACTATTTTTTTCTTTATAAAATAGATTATTTTCCTTTTATGGATCGAATAAATTACTTTTACCAACATGAGTTGTGGTGCACTAATGAAAGTATTTCACCCTTAATCAAATGTTTTGGATTGCAGTCTTGGGTATGGAGAAAATCCTGTTGCAAGCGCCATCTCTGCGCCTTGAAGTGCGCCATTCGAATTTAGTCAGAACTTTAACGTGAACTTAAAAAAATAAATTAATTTTGAGATCTAATGACTTTTCTCTTTTTAATTTTAGGTCAAATCTTTCGAAATATTTTTATTTTACGCACATGAGTAATTTATTTTGACTTTTTGTACAAATCATTAAGGTTATGTTGAATAATATTTTTCTAGGAGCAAGGACGGAGATAGACAATTATTTGTATTGTGAAAAATATGGTGCTCAAGTCAATTTGTATATATTTTAATTAGTTTTACTTATAATTATTTATTTGATAATTTTATTTTTTTGTATATATTGTTCATATAATGAAAATATGTGTGTCAGGGAGAGTGTAGTTATGACTTCTGCCGGGCAATTTTTTAAAGAGAATATTGCATAAGTGTTGTAGTATTTTATTTGTAGAATAAGATTTTACAGAAAATTTTATTTTGAATAGTGACTTGTGTTATTGAATTTTTATTTTGTGATATAACTTATACCACTAAACTTATGTCTTAAGATAGAGATTGTATAATGTAACTTGTGCCTAATTACATAATTAGTGTTATATAATAAATGTTATGTAACATAACTTGTATTATTAAACTTATGTTCTGGACATTATCTGTACCACTTATGCCTTGAGTTATAACTTGCCACTCCACTTATGTTTTGGACATAACTTAGGGATAATGGATAAGTACTCCGTCAATTTATGATCAAATTTTCAGAGACATATTTATACTATACTAAGGTCCTATTACCTACTAAAGTTATTTTATTAATAATTTTCTATCCCTTTTCGACTTACGTGGCATTATCTTGTGGACCCAACGTTGATTGACTTTTTTCTTCAAGTTAGTGCCACGTAGACCGAAAAGAGGTGGAAAATTACTTATAAAATAAGTTCAGGAGGGTAATAGGACCTTAGTATACTATAAGTGTGTCTCTGAAATTTTGATCATAGGTTGAAGGGGTATTTGTGCATTTTCCCCATAACTTATGCTATTAAACTTATGCCTTGAGGTATGACCGAACACTTAAATATACTGTAGTTTTATACTTTTTTTCATTTCACAAAGAATGATCTTCTTTGATTTGATACACAGTTTAAGAAAATAAAAAAGATCTTTAAATTTTGTGGTCAAGTTATGTCAAACGTGCAAAATTATCCTTTGATCTTATGGTCTTAAACATACCACGTGGAACGCTAAACTTAAAATATTACCAAAAAAGAAAAATGTCTTTTTTTTTAAACGGACTAAAAAAAGAATGTCATTCTTTTTAAATGGAGGGTTAATTAATTTTGAGAGGTAACTACTTTTTCATCTTTAATTAGAAGTTTTGGGTTGAGTCTATTTAAGTACGGAACTGTCTTTTTTAAGCAATGTAAAACTTTTGGATGTGAATTTGAATTAATCAGGCTACAATATTGATATAAATACAAAATTAAAAATTAAAAAAAATTGAGAGATGTGAATACGTGCTGAACAAACATTGGAACAATGTGGAACCATCGACATCGCCAGTTTCATTTTAACTACTTGGCTGCTTGGCTTTAATTGACTTTCAACTACTTAATTCATTACAAGCAACTTAGAGAGAAGGTTGATATAAATATCAAAAAATTGAATAGAATTAAATTAATATGGTCCTTCAATTTCAGTTTAGGTTTTAATTTTTTTTTGAAAAAAAAGTTTAATTCTTCAATTTAACATTTAGTATACAGTACCTTCGATTTAACATTTAGTGTAAAAATATCTACAATTCAATATGCGAAAAATCTAAACTTTCATTAAAAGTATTTTAAAATAATAAGTATTACGATATAAATTTGAACTCAGAAACATTTTAAGATTCAAAATCACAATATAAAAGTTCTATTTTTCCTTACTAGGTAGGTCATTTAATTGTAGCTGCTGAATTCATATGGTTTCATTAATTGAGAGTTTATCACCAAGTTGATGAATGCATTAATTATTTGTGGTGCTAGTATTGGTTGCTTCTAAATAATTTTATTATTTTGAAATTTTATTGGATGTCTGGTATTATAATGAAAAATGATTAAATTTAGGTTGACATAAAAAAATTTAGGTTGGAGGCAATTTCGTATTCCTAACACAGTTAAGAATGGAGGAGTACAAGGCCGGCTTTATGCTTAGGAAATAAGGCTTTTGCATTAGGCCTTCAAATTTCGAGAGCCCAGATTTTTATCAAGAATAAATTATGTGTTAAAATTTTTATAGAAAAATTAATTATCTATGATAAAAAGTATAATTTTTTATAAAGTATATTATTTACCCACTTTAATATCTTTTGTACTTTGCTAAAAATAAGAATTGATAGTAAAAAGTGTTGAACAAAGTGAATAATTTTTTTTTTTAATTTTAGTTTCAAGCATTACTACAAACATAATAAAATGAAAATATCAAGTCATCAACTTCTTGCATCAAATTCTAGGGTTCTAACTCCTATCTTTATTTAATATTTGTCAACTTATTACTTATATAATTATGTTAACAATTCACATAATAATTGTCTCACTGAAAGGATGTTTTCAGTGTTGAGTTGATGAAATCTTACCTAAATTAATAACTGAAAAAATAATATTAAAATACTAATAATTTTCATCTAAATAGTGTAAAAATAAATAAATTTTGAATAAATACGTATATAAAGTTCATTTATATTTAAGGTCCCGAATTGAAATTTCGCTTTAAGCCCACAATCACATTGAGTCGTCCCAAATTGAAAATTCGCTTTAGGCCCCCAATCACCTTAAGCCTCCTGAAGGAGCATTATCATTCCACCACAATCTTTGTTGGTGTTACTTTTAATGTTTATTTATACCTTATGATTTTCAGTTTATTTTTAGATTGTGATAATTTGGTCCTCATTTGCATACAAATTTTGTTTTAGAAATGTCGAATCAAATTAAAGTGAAGTTAAATTTTTTTTGAATCGAGCCAAATTTAATTGATTTGATATTTAGTGTACACTTTTTTAAAATCGAAGAATCAAATTGAAAATTCAATAAAATCGAACTAAAGAATCGTACATCCAACCCAACGTAGGGTGTGTTTAGTTTTTTTTTTTCATGTTTAACTCGTCAAAGTATTTTGAATTTTTTTTCTAGAAAAGATTAAACACTAAAAATAAAAAAAAATATTTTTTAAAAATTATTTTTTTAAAAAGAAAATATTTTTTCTTCTTAACTAACACATCCATTATAGTGTTTGGTGTAGTAGGAATTTGAATTCAATTATTCTCATTGTTATTATTATATAATGTTGTTATGTCTTTGTCATGAATCTACCAAGAATTGCAACCCCTCAAATATTCTTCTGTTTTACTTTTAGTTCTAAAAAATGTATTAAAGGTATCTTTGAATTATATTGATTTTGATTCATAAAAATATCTTTGATGTTATTCTTATATATTATATATTTGTCCTTTTCTTTTCTCAACTTGACAAGTGAAATTCTTGATAATTTTTGTTATTATGTGTATAAGTTGACATGTTATGAAAAACACATGTAATTAAAATACGTTGATATAAAAGAAAATTAATCACAAAAAAGGAGACATTTCTCTCCCATTCAATAATTCAATATATAATAATACATGAATAGCTCTATGGTTTACTAATTAACAATCATTCGATTTACAAAATCATGTGGAGGGATTAAAAATGCATGTTTCAATTACATGAAGATAAATATAATAGTTTAAATATTAGAGGGACCATAATCAATGTTTATCAAGATCAGAGGACTAAAACTACAATAGTGTTGATTAATCACTTCCATCCTTGTTAAACCACCAAGTCAACACCTTCATTTTCAAACTTTTGTTTAGTTTCAACTAGGGGTGGCAGGGGGACCAGGCTATCCCGCCCCGGCCCGCGTCCCGACCCGAGCCGTCTCCCGCCCGGCCGATCCTCTTATGTTTAGGGGGTTTAAGGGGTGGGGGATGAGGGGACCGGTCAGGGGCTGTTCACCCCTGCGTCTCGGTCGACCCGGCCCGGTCCCGGTCCGGTTGAACCGGCCGGTTCGCGGGATCCCCTTTTTAAAAAAAAAAAATTCAAAAAGTTATCATTTTAATCCGTTGGGGAAACAGCTAGTGGGCCCCCTCCAACGGATTTATGCCACTTTTTGTGTTCCCAAACACCCCCACCACCCCCCTACTTTTAAAGTTTTTTTTAAACCCTCAAGTTATAATAATTACACTTTAATTCTTTTTAATATTATAAATACACATATCCCCTACTATTTCTTACAAAATCATCTATTCTCATTTTTCTCATCTATTTTTCTATATCCTCTCAACTCTCAACTCTCAAGTGTCAATCTTAATTTCTACTTCCATTTTAATTCTCATATTATTATAATTCATATATTTCAATTTTCAATTCAAAATTTTCATATTATATCAATATATATAATTATGTTATCTCATATTTGTTATCAAGTATTTGTTGGAGTTTTAAATTACAAGTTACAACAAACCACAAGCTTCAACAATCGGTTCAACGTTTGCTATTAATGCAGACGTTTGGTATATTCGTTTCATAATATTTATATTTTATTTTTCGTCTTTATTTTTGTGCAATTATTATTTTTATATTACACTCTATATATAATTAAGTATGAGTTCTAGCAAAAAAAAATAGCGGTAAAGGAAAAGAGAAAGCACAAGATAACGAGGAGAGTAGACTTTTTAAATTATTTAATTTTGATAAAAAAAATAGTAAAGAAAAAAAGAGTAGTAAAAGTGGTGGTACTTCATCTAAATCAACAAGTAGAGTTAGATTTAACATAAATGATTCTACTTATGTTGATGATACTTCTTATGATATTGAATAAATGTTCAATTCGATCACGAAAGTTTAGAATGACGTTATGGTAATATTAATCCTAATGTTGATGAAAATTCAGGTGAAGAAGTAGAAGCTGATTTGGGAGAAGAGGAGTTAGAAGAAACACCTACTAGCTCGGTGACAGAAGTTTCAAATGAGACTATCAATTTACCGGAGCAAAATTTTGGACATTCATCCCTTATACCTCCCACAAGGGAGAAGGTGAAGTATCAACGCGCTAAAACTTCTATTGTGTGGCAATTTATGACTTTCAATAAAGAAAATAGTGTTGCTATTTGTAATAAGTATAAGCAACCTTTTAAACATAAACAAGGTGGGGGTCAAGGTGGAATAGGGGGATTAAATAGACATTTGTTATCTTGTGTGCCGATTCAATATAAAGAAGCTAAAACATTAGCCAATAGAAAAAAAGGAATTTCAATTAATGAATTTGATATTACCGGTAATGCATCGATAGGGGCTTCTAACATGGTTCAAGGAACATTAGATCCTTTTAACCCTGTTGGTGCAATAACACAACGTAAATATAATAAGAAATTAGATCGAAAAATTTTAGCTAAAATGGTTTCTGTTTGTGGTTTGCCTTATAGTTTTCCTTCAAATCCCAATTCTATTGAATATATTCAACAAACTTATAATCAGAATTATAGAGGCTTTTCAAGAAATACTGTTAAATCTGATGTTTTTGAATTTCAAGGTAAACATTGTCGATTTCTTCGTTGTATATTTAGCATATTAGATAGTAGAAAGTCTATAACTTCGGACATGAGTCGTAGTGTTAATGGAAATGATTATTTAACTATTACTGCACATTGGATTGATCATAATTGGAATTTGCAAAAAAAGAATTATAAGTTATAAACTATGTATAGAGAAAAAAACTGCTGCATATTTAGCTTCAAATATTTTAAGTGTTTTAGATTATTACATGATTATAGATAAAATAATGTCTGTCGCATTAGATAATGCATCTAAGAATACAAACGCTGCTAAAATGTTAAAAATTAGATTATGTCCAATTCACAATAATGTTTTTCATGTTAGATGTGTTGTACATATATTAAATTTAGTTGTACAAGATGGTATTTCATTATTTGATTTTGGTAGCGTAAAAATTGAATATGCCGTTACCTGGATTTTCATACAAACAATGCTGCTAGAATTGGGGAATTTAATGAGCGTTGTTTACTATGTGAATTGTCACCTAGAAAAATTACAAAATATATTAAAACAAGGTGAAATTCTCTTTACGAAATGCTTTCGGTTGCTTACAAATATAGAAGACCCATACAAATGTTTTTTAATGCTTATAATGCTGACCAATTAGATAGAATTTGTGATGAAGATTGGGAAGAAACTAAAGAACTATTACAGTTTTTAAGACTTTTTTATGATGCTACTACCATGTTTTCTAGAATTTATTATCCTACTATTTCATCCGTATTAATAAATATTTGTGCTCTTACAATTCAATTTTGTAAATATAAAAAAATAGATAAATTTAGAGTTGCAATTGAAGGTATGGTTGAAAAATTTTAAAAATATTTTTTTACTATTCGTCAAGTTTTTTTTACCGGCTACTTTACTTCATCCCGCTTATAAATTACAAGGTTTGCAAGACCTTGTTGACACATTTTATGAAACTTAAGAAATTTTACCGGAAGAAATTTCAAATTGTCAAACGTGTGAGTCTAGCATAACAGTAGAAGCAAAGCTGAAAAATATAAAACTACGAAAAATTTTCAAGGAGAAGTTGGTCAAACTTCTAATGTTGAGATTGATTTGTCACTTCCAATTTCAACTTATGTGCGAGGTATTCTTGGTTTTAATTCTATTAACCGTGATGATTTTGAAGAATATCTTAATCAATATTTAGAAATATTGGAAATCAAAGATGGCAACAAAGATTCATTAGGATGGTGGAGTAGGCGAACCGATGCATTTCCAACTTTGAGCAAAATGGTTCGTGATGTTCTATCTATTCAAGCTTCATCAGTTGCATCAGAGGCTGCTCTCAGTGCGGCAAGATTTCAAATTAGTTATCATAGACATTCATTGGCGGAAGACAGTTTGGAAACAACAGTTTTATTTAGAGACTGGTCCAATGTCGGAAGGAGGAATAACAATTTGCCAAAGTTAAGTAAAAAACAAGCAAGTTGGATCAAAACACTAATTGAATGCAGTGATGATGAATTAGAGACACAAGAATTTCTAGCAAGTTTGCTAACACCGGAGGATATCACCATCGATATGATGCGACAATTAGATAAATTTTAAAGGAGAAAACAAATATTTTTAGATTACATTCGAGAACTAATTGAAACAGAACCCTTCCTAGAAGGTGGCTGCGTAAAATTAGTTACTCATCTAATATCTGTAACAAATATTAGTTTTACGTATAAAAACTTATTGAAACAGAACCCTTCCTAGAAGGTGGCTGCGTAGATTAGTTACACCACTAATATTTGTTAATTGTAACTTCTAAGTTCTATTGAATAAATTTGAAGATTTTAACTTTTGTTCAAGTTTTTTTTATACAATTATTGTTTTACATTTTAATTTTAATATATACAATTAAATATATACTAAAGTACTAAGCTGACTTTAAAATACTTAATTTAAAGTTTACAATTTACATTACTTTAAAATATTTAAATTACAAATTTAAACTTCTCAAATTTGAAATTTAAAACTTTAATGTTGAAACTTGAAATTTTAAACATGAATCTTGAAATTTGAAAATTGAAACTTTAAATTTGAAAATTTATTTTGATATTTGAAAATCAAAAATTAAATTTAAAATTTATTAGCTAAAGACGTATAATTTCAATATAAGTATATAAGTATTTAAAAATAAAAAAAATTCCCTGTCCCATCCCGTCTCGTCCCCCCAAATCCCATCTCATCCCGTATATATAGTGGGATGGGATGAGACCTATTTTGTCCCCCCCAATCCCGATCCCGGTCTAAATCCCCTCTCTCCGTCCCCCGTCCCGTCCCCCAGTCCCCTTCCTTGTCCCCTTGCCAGCCCTAGTTTCAACAAACAAAAATAATTGTGCAATTAAATCTACCAAAAATCATACATGAACTAAAACATAATAAGAAAGCAAAATAAAAATAAAAAAATTTACTGAAATAATTAAATTATGGTTGTCTATAATCTATGTATATGTTTAGGATAGTTATAATAACCTAATATATTGTATACACAAGGATTAATGCATTAGTCTCCCAGTGGGTTTTCTTAGCCACCCATGATGTTGGTTTTTTTAGATAATCCTGCTCCTATACCGTTGGATTTGTATCTCGGCATTCCATCGGTGGGTTTGTTTATAATCCTTTCCGTTTTGAATGTCTTCTTGAATAGTTATAATGGCCCATATGAGCGAGATATACTTTATGGGGGGGAGGGAGGATGGACATAGTTTTTTCAGGCAGCGATTGTTTAGTCCACGATTTATTGGATGGTCGGTGCAAGGATGGAATTGGAACACATTGATTCGGCTCATTCCTGTCCTCCGCTTCAGGGTCTGTCCCTCGGTGTGGTCAGAACTCCATACTATCGTACAACGAAGCTTACACTTCTATTACGAGAACTTTGTCTACATCCATTCCCGATTCTTTTTCACCTCAGAGGATCGTGTTGGGTGAATTATGACCTCGTGCGATTGTGTTGGATAAATATGGCATCATGTGATTATATAGAGTGAAAAACAACCCTTTCGTAAAAATACTTATTTATGAGCTAACTAGTCATACTTTGTCCAACTATCCTACAAGGAGACTTTTGAGAGCCAAAAGTATTAAAGGAGTGGTCATAGAAATGGGTGTATCATGGCATTGCAAGATGTCTTGCCTAAATGAATTAGAGTTGCAATGTTAGAAAAGTGATCAAAAGAAGTTCATCAAGGCTTTTTCCTCGAGTCCTATCATGACTGCACTCAACAAAAGAACTTTTCAAAAGGCGTTGCCTTTTTTCACTCATGTGATATTGTTGGACTGAGCTTCCGTTGATTGTCCAAGATACTCCACTGCTGCCCTATGTAGGACTCCGAGCCGTGTCCCAGTCCTAGTGTGCCTAATCTCCAATAAAACCAGCTAAACATCATTGGCTTGGTCAACCTTAACATGACCAACTACCTAATACTATGCATGTTCATCAAATAATATTTTTTTAGCTTTCCTCGAGATTTGGCTCAAACTCTTTCGTAGATTCTTATGTGTTACGCACCCATTCACCACTTTGTTCACAATTCTTTTCACCTCCTGGGCGAGAAGAGCTATCTTGAATTGCATCTGTTAATCTTATAGCTAGCGTTGTTTATGAGTCAGGAGCAAAGTCTTCTTTTTAGTATGATTGGGCGTTGTAGTGGTAGATCTAGTGAATCAGGCATACTATTTCCAAACCTTCTATGAACATTTATTCTCTTATGTTTTTTTCTTAAGTAAAGATTATTTTCCGGTGACCCTATTATTTTTCCACCACTATCTTTAAGGATAAAATAAGATCTCTTACTTTGCTCACAAGCCCTACTAGTGTAGCAAATTTGGTTGATGGTGTGTTGTTTGTTCTAGCACAATTTCTGAAATGAATATGTTCAACTTATGTTTGTCATGATAACTTCATTTATATACAAATTTAGGTATGAGGTTGTAGAGGTTACAAGAGTTCACTTACTTATTATAAAGGGAAAAAGGTTTGAAATATATTTGAACTTTGACTGAAATTGTTGTAACAATTTCAAACTTTGGACAGGACCTATTAGTCCCGCTCTATTTAAAGCCCACGTAAACATCATAAATATTGCATCATTAAAAATATTAACTTATCTAGCTGGGCACTTATATATCATTAAAATACCTTATTAAATAGTGCATAGGGGTAATAGATCATGTTCAAAGTTTGTGATTATCACAATAATTTCCGTCAAAATTCAAATATATTTTAGACATTTTTCTCTAATATAATTTAATTTGAAGATGCCAAAGATGGGACTTTTATTAATGATAAACAAAAAAAAATCAGCTTGTAATCATGGAGCTCCAGTTGTGTGCCAACGATGTAAACGCCCATGAAAAAAACACCTCTGATCCTCAGTAGCACTAGAAACACTTCCATGTTCGGCTTGTAATCATCTGGATGTTAAAACTTCTCATTGTCAGCATGATTCAACACCAATGAAGACTTCTTCAATATGAATGTGACATAATTTTACTTAAAACAAAAGGCGTGAATCGATTTGGATAATCCTTCCCTATACCTCTCTCATTTTCCCATTATTTCAACTTAGAAGTTTTCCTCTCACTAGAATGAACCCCAAAGGAGTTGATACAAGTGTTAAAGATGAAAAGTGTTCAGTTGCCAAAACAGGCATTCCGAGATCTGTTATTAAAAGTATCCTATGATTCCTCATTTATTTTTTGTATGTTTAGCTTCCTTGATTCAACTCGCCTATTGTTTATTCCTATAGAATGCACCCAGTATTTTGAAGTCTTCTTATTCTAAGATATGACATGCTTTTTTTTCAATTGAATAATTGAGTTTGCTTGTTGTGGAAATTCTTGCATATTATAAAATTGGTGTTTATGTGTGCCTAGAAAATCAATAGCATAATTAGTGAAAAAATCTGCTAACATATTTGTCACGCCCCGAGCTACCTCCGAGACGCGGACACGTAACCTAGGACCACCAGTGATCCCAAGTTAACCCTGCTGTCATGATCATGAGCATACTATAGAATATAAACTGTTGCAGAAGCTAAATCATAAATTTAAACTGAAAAAATAGGGAATACCCATATGCTACAAGTAAGATAAATGAAATACTGATGAGTTTAATACTAAGATGAAACTATCTATATCTTAAAATAATATCTAAATTTAGACTAGAAATACTGGGACCAAACCCAGCTAAATCTAGCAAAATTGAAAAGAAACTCATGATTATTGTCCTCGTAGAATGAGGACTCACCACTGAATCTGCTGAACTGAAGATCGGAAATTGATTTATGTGTAATTTGGATATTGAGAACCTGAATCTATAGCACGAGAAGATGTAGCGCACATATGCGTCAGTACTTGAAAGGTATTGAGCATGTAGGATATGATAAAGCTGAAATAAAACATAACTGAACAAGCACAAAAGCAAGTATAATAATCTGAACATGATATAGAGATTCTGAGCTAACTGAATGCAATGACCAATTTATAACATGTTGAAACTGAATACTGAGTATACTGATAAATGGTAAATGCTAGAGAGTCTGACTGAACTGTGAGAGCTACTAATAACCGATAATATAATCACATGAGCTAAATGTGGAGTCTAATGTATACGCCCCATCCAGGGACTCAATATACCCTGCCATAGGTATAAAGACATGCTGACGTGATCACTAAATTGATTGCCCACATAGGAGACTTACAACCTACTTGGCTAGTAGTTCTGGGACTTACTGGTACGCTGAACCCTAGTCCAACTCGGTATTACGATACTCCCATTGATTTATATAGTTAATAGATTATGTCTGAATTTTTTGTAATTATTGGATAACTCAAAATTGAAATGCGAAATGAGAATGCAACATTTAATATGAGAATGATGCATTAAAAACTGAGGCATGTATAACTGAATAGCTAAAATATCTGACATAGCATATATAATTCAAAAGCTAAAGAAATACAAAGCTAGGGTTATGAAATTTATGTGATAAACTGAATAATAACTCTACAATCTACTTTGGAACATATATATAATAAATTCATGAAGTTCTATTAAAGTTCTAGAAACCCTAGGTTTTATCATAATAAGAGAATCAAGAACTGACTGAAAACTAGGGACCCAATGGATGAAAGAAACCCACTAGTGAAATCCCACATACATGGTAATGAAATTTACGGAGAAACACTTAGATTTTGACGCTGGAAATACTGGAACCTTGTTGCATTCTTGAACTAGGG